CGAATCTTAGTCACCGGTCGCACGCGGAGTGAACAGCGTAGAGAACAGCGGCCCAACTTGCAGTGACCGTCGTTATGTCTCACTCTGCCGTGAGGAATTCGGCACGAGTCGCGCCGCGTCACGCCACAGACCTGCGTTTCATTTTGCGACTAGTCTAACATGTCGTGTACCCAGACTCCCAATTGTTTGGGTTCCTTAATACCGAAAAATCGACTGACGGCAAAACGTCCATCCGTCCATCCACATGTCCGTGCGCCCGTCCATGCCAGACAGCTCTCCGTCAGTCTGTCCTGTGTATGTGAACAACAATAGCGTCTAGACTACGCGAGCGCTTTTTCCAAAACTGTATAAATTCCCTATCGATTTCTTTGAGTCGAAGGTCTGCGATTTTGAAAAACATACATTAATTTTTGGATATACTTTACATGTAACCCTTGCGACACTTCCAAAATTTCCTCAAAAACAGTTCCATTTACTTTCTTTGAGTTTCTTGTAAGTATAGAGTAAAATGCACTTACAAAGATGGCATAGCTAAGATTTTCACAGTTAACTTTTGAATGTTCGACAATTGCAGAAATTTGAAATTTTTTCGGCGTCTTTCTACAACTACAAAACTGAAGATAGAACTTTTTCCTTCAAAGGAAAATTGTTCTCCATAATTGGCTCATTCATTAAGGTCATGAACTTTTTTGAAAGTTCGAGTAGTTTTCGTGAAATATGCGCAATTTTAAAAAATAACAAAAACAAAAATTTCTCACAAAGGCTTCAATTTTTTCCTTAAAATTTTTGATAGGTATAATTCCATATGTACTCTATGAGATGTGATGCAAGATGACAAACACCATTTTACCCTATACTTTTCTTTTTCCAAAAATTACAAAAATGTAATATTTTTACTAGCCTCTCGTGTCGTTAATATTTACATTAGCGGCGATTTGTTCACATTGTTGCATTTACAAGTACATGTGTTTTAAATGATATCTTAAGTTTCTCTATAATTCAAAACGTTTCTATGAAAATTAGCTCAAATTCCGCATTCAGAAAAGCTTAAACGCCGTTTTCTCAAAAACTGCTACACATATTTTCTTCAAACTTTTTCATACGGGTAATGCGAATTGCGCTGTTTCAGATGACCAATTCATTTTGCTGTATTCTTTTGTTTTTTCAAAAATTACACAAATGTAATTTTTTGAAATATCACTCGCGCCTTTAATATGCACATTTCCACATATTAGTATACATTATGGCATTGTATTGTGATAGTGCTTCAAATGACTTCTAATAAAGTTTTTTGAAAATTCAAAAGATTTCTGTGATAAAGAGCAACAAATTTCGCAAAAACAGCAATGCTTAAGTGGCATTTTATCTTAAACGGATCAAAATTTGTCGACGCAAATTTCCTCATTTGTCGAGGTTTTACTTTTCTATAATATTCTTAAAGTCATATTTAGATTCTACTAGAGTATTGTGTAATTTATTAGTTTATGACTTAAAATGATGTAATTAACGTAAAATAGTCATTTAAAAGTGACCCATAATAAAATATCTTATAAATAAGTTTGTCATAAATAATTAATTCCGTCAATTAGAAATAATGGTTAGCTCGAATTCTACACTGACAATCAATTCTTTTAACGTAATAACTTTTTCCCTGTATTGTTTGTTGAATTGAAATTTCCTGTGGTTTCCCGTTTTCCCTGTCTTTTTCAGGAAGTGGTCACCCTGTGATACGTAAAGCAACGCAGAGAGTGCGGCACATACTTGCTAATACAAAGACCGTAAATTGAGAGTTTTATGTTCGAAACGTTGACTACGAGATGTTTTCTGGTAGAAAGAGTATGGAATATTCGGATCAGCGTTGAAGAGCAGAGAATACAAGGTGTCCGTACACAAGGTGTGCAAAGCATTTTGTTTTTTCACTGACGCCGGGGACCGGGCGCGAGCAACTCGAGTGCAGTGCAACTCGAATACGGGCAGTGCGGAAGGGTGGGGATGAGACACATTCTAGGAGAGGGGACCACCAATAAGAATGTGCAATTTGAACTGAAATGCGCAAATTGAAAGAACAATCGGCGAGAATCCGGCGGACTGTTACATACAGTTAAAGTGTAATTACCTTATAATGTTTGTTGTCGAATTATGACCATGTGAAATATGAGAATAAAACGAATTAGACATACATTTTTGATTTGGATATCGTTTCATTTGTTACTTTTAAAGTTGATAATTTAATTCGCTTTGCTACACTGTAATCCAAAATATAGCGTGATGCTAAACAAAAAATTATAATACTAAATCCTTTTTGTTTGATGATGCCAATAATAAATTATTTTTTCATTAACTATGTTTAAATGAATAAGATATTATCAAAGCTAAAAAATAATATTCTTAAAAATCATGATTACTTTCGGCTGTAATTTCTGGCAAGAGTACATTATATATTTCTAATATCAAATCAACAAACATTATCTATTCATAATCGTTTACGATGTATAAAAACGATTAAGCCTTTTGGATTCTATTTAACAATATCCATAGTAATCTTATGATTGTCCTAACATATCATAAGAAAGGTTTGCTAGTTGTTATCTCTTATTCAGCTACATAATGAGGGAAAATGGTCACATCACGAATAAATGTGAAATAAAACATTACCCTCCTGGGAAATGCCTACATTTCATTTTATGACAATCTTGATGTGAGAGACTGCTCTCATAATTTCCTTTGTTTAGGTATCATTTGGGGACTCCTGGTGAAAACCTAATTATTAAGTTATAAATTTCGATACGTTAGAATCAAATAGCATTTTTTTAAATACTGCTTTAAAATATTGTTTATGAGTCACAATGAGCATGAAGTAAAAAAATCAAAAAATAAAAATGTCAATACAAAGCAGTGCACAAATGATAAACCATGAGATATGGCCCTTGTAGCTAGAGAGAGGGGCATTACCCATATAAATAAATGGGGAAATAATTTCACAGCATGGATCCTTGCATTAGACATCCGGGCATTCAATCTATTCGCCGTCTCTTTTACAATGTCCTACAATGTCCTACAATGTCCTACAGTGTCCTACAATGGCCTACAATGTTGAATTGAATTGTTGCTCAGTTCGTTAGATCGTCGGTTTTGTGGAGGAACTGCCACCAAAATGATATATCGTTTGTTTTTTTTACTAGTCTAATCACTTTTCACGTCATTTTTCTTTTCCATTACAGCACATCAACCAAGAAACGGGTCTTTGTTCGGCTAGTCTGCGTCAGCAGAAACGACTCATCGTTGATGAGAGACAACCTCCTATGTGGAAAATATAAAAATGTACAGGAGGAAGGAAAAACGCTTTTTGATGTATACAGTTGGCTAAATTGAGGCATTCTACACTTCCTATATCATCGTATTAAACATTTATTTATTGTAATATTTTTCTGAAACCACGTTACGAAACTCTCCCATGTGGCACTTACAACATACGAGATAGTCGATCATCAAAGCATTGTGAAGGCCACATAAGATATGTGTCATTTTCTACTTTAAGACTACAATTTCTAGTTTTCTTTGGAAATTTTCTTGTCAAACTAAAGAATAAGCAAATTCTTAATCATTGATATCAAAATGTCAAAATTGGCAATTTCGTTTCATAGGAGGTTGTCCATCAACGATGATCTGTACGACATGCCCCTTTCACCAAGTTTCTTCTCCCTTGCGGAAGATGGCAGGGAGTGGCTTTAAACTCCAAAAATTGGAAACATCATCAATGGTGTCACCTTCCACAAAGGAGCCCAAGAGCGGACATTCCACTGAGGAGTCAAGAGTAGCTACTAGAACATAGAAGAGAGTGACATGGAATCTTCCCCACAGTTCTAGTAGGGGGACAACTGACACTCCCTCACCCTAGTGGGTAATCAAAGAGTAAGTCTGTGGGAATTTAATATGGTCGGAAGTGTGTTCACTTCCTACTGCCGAAGAACAGTGAAATAAGAGGAAGACGCAGAGAATAAAGTTGTGATAGATAAAAGAGAATGTGTTGAGAAGGGATAAGGATGTATCAATGAAGGAAAGGAATACATCGGAGTGCTCCCTTCATCCCCAGTCAGGACAAGGTCCGGCCTACCTGGGTCTGAATAATCTGTATAATTAAGTAAATTAAGTTTGAAAATATAACAATATATTAACAATAATAATAACAACATTAAATGTCCAGAACGACAGTTAAAATTTGTCTATTCTCGTACAACCTAATTAAGGAACTGGCACTGTTTCCAAGCAGACATCAGGTGCCGATTTCTGATTGTAATGTTGTTTCTTGATAAAATTATATTGTTTTGTTCTAGATAAAAAAAAGTTCTTTCAAATTATGAAATTTCCAAAAAAATCGCAAATACATTCAATTTTGTATGGTAAATATTTAGGATCTGGAAAAATATCAACAAGTCTAGGAGAGTGGAATGGCAAGCGACTGAGAAAAATGCATGAAAAATGTCAACAGACAGCAAGGCGCGCCTAGAGGAAACAAAACCTTCGATGTATTAAACGAATTATTTGGACCATGAGTCACTTCGTTTTATTTCCAAAATTCCTTGAGGCGAATAATAAGAAAAAAGACAAAATGAAAATCATAGCTGAAAATCCACGTTCATGTCTTTCGCGTTTCTTTTGAAGCACTTGGTTTGCGATTGTTCTAAACACAAATAATACAATCGAGAACAATACTCTATTATACAGAAAAAATATTCACAGATGAATATTTGATATTTTTCTTTATTAAGAGATGTCAGAGTTTGGGAATAAATCTTCCGAATTCATTTGAGAATTCCCATCCAAAAAGTATAATATCTAAAATGATAAAATATGCAATCACTTCTTACAGAAGAGATTCATTAACAAGTTAAGACGTGTAAGCATTCCTTTGAACAATTAAAATCTGTAGAGATAAACATTTTAAGAAGAGATAAACATTGATGTTGGTACTGTGACCACAAGGATCCGTCTTAACTTACCTTATTAGCGCTTGATAATCCATCAAGATTTTCTAAATTCGTTCTTAAGAAATCTGCAAGTCTGTGGTCTCCAGGAGAGGACGTTTCAAAATACTGTTGCTGCTTGTTTTGTTTGTGAGTGATCTCATTATGGTGTTGCTGCTGCTGTAAAATCCTACAATGTAAAAGATAACGAATTTTATACATGAAAAAATGTATACTTGCAAGAGTGGAATGTATTGTATCTTCAAGATCAGTATACGGTAAAACTGTACTAATGTGACCGAGCAAAAATACATGGCCTTATTTGAGATGAAGAATATATAATTTAATAATAATTAATAATAACTTTAACTTGACAGTTTTTGGGGAGTTATTTTCAAGCTTAAATTGCAATGTGATGAACCCTACTGCTCGCTCCTTTCGCCTGGAGTTTGATTTCGGCACGCTCTAGGCGGAAGAGTGCACCTCGGCCACTCATGCGAGCCGAAATACAAAACAAGAATATTTTTCATAATATATACACAGAACTCTTTTTCTAGGTTTACGCCAAAACAATTAAACGAACATCTAAAAGAACGTACTTTTCTAAACTAAATATTAAGTACATCCAAAGCTGACGACTCTTCATCAAAATGACAATCCGTGCGTACTTTGCACAGTAAAATTAATGAAGTAAACTAAGCTGATTAATAAAAGTATATTACTGGAATGTATAAATCATTAACTTGGTCAATGTCAACCAATTTCTATAAAATATTCAACGAAGTTTCTACTAGATGCAACAGCGCATGGAGTTGTGAGTAAGCAACTGAAGATGAATTGACGTAAATTCAACAAGGCGGATTTCCACACCAACTAAATAGGAATCCATGTGTGACATCCGTCTCCACCCCTACGTCACGCGAGTGCCAATTATGCAGACCGGCCAGAAACTGCTCGCGGTGTAAGAAAAGATGGAAACCACAGGGAGAGAGCTCGAGTGATGGGGTAAACGGTCAAACAAATCCACGCGCTTCTGCCGCACGTAAGCGATTGTGAGAGAGAGTTATTGTTTAATTCTTTTCAGAGTTGTATGACAATATTCAGCCTTCGCATCTGCTCTGTAATTCGTTCAGCATAGTTGACCACCTTTTCCAGAAAACAACTCACAACTCTGTCCATGAGTTCGAATCCTGCTTGAATTTAGTCTGCCCTCCACCGTAAAGTTAATGTACTCCTTTTCCAAAGTAAATTGAGCATCATACGCTGATACATAAGAGGAGAGACTTACATGAAACTATTTCGTGCGAGTTTTCAGAAAATGTTTTTAGAAATAGCATAACTTTCAGACGGTAATTAAGCAAAATCAGCTCATTTCAAAACTGAACACCAACTTTTGGAAGAGCTGATTGTTTACGACAAACGGCTGAACGGTTTAGGCGCTAGCGTTGACCAGACAGACAGGAAGGAAGGCAGGCAGGCAGACGGACGGACGGACATTTTGCCGTCAATCGATTTTTCGGTATCAAGAACCAATAAAGGATGGATTCTGGCTACACCACGAGTTAGAGGATTTTTCTTTTTCTAAATTTGACAACAGGATTTATCCACTTTTTCGTTACCAGAATCCTGCAATAAGGTTTTTTTGGGCGAAATTTCGGCGATATCTGGCGTACGAATACATAACCTCTTCTTACGAATAATTCTTACGGCGAGAAAGTAAAAATTAAGACTGATTATTTCATATTTCAAGCTTTGATACGGTTATAACAATTCTTTGTGCACAAATACTACGAAATTGTTTAAATAGAGTGTTTCCATTTATAGTAGTTATTAATGCGTTGGACGCCTCCTCACCTTTACTCCGGATAATCAAGATTCAGCTGTATTAGCTTCAAGCAATTCAAACTAATCTTTCGTTATTAACTCGGGTAGTAAGAGAATAAAATTTGTGTTTCTATTACACAGTGGAGTACATTTATTCTCCAATCAATCAAAATAATCGGAAAGCGAACAAAACCACACTTTGGGAAGTTTTGAACTCACTGGTATGTATTAGAATGTTAAGGGCACGCCCGGATAAGATGGCAAAACGTTCCATAAAACCAAAAGACATGAATAGTTACACAATAACTTATCATTAGAATAATATTTTGAAAGGTTTCTTAACCCCCATCCCACCACCCACACCTCTACAGCAAAAAACACGTTTTAGGGAACGGGTAGGTGCCAGGTGGGGAAATTATGAATGACAGTGCTGGTGCAGGGGAAGGATAGATGGGGACAGGGCCCGAATTATTTTTGTAGGCAGTGTTATACAAAACAAGACCTTTTTGAACTTCTTTTACAATTTGTCATATTTAGTTCTCTTGGGTGCCCTCACTCCATAGCATGGGTGGACAGAAAGAGCAGAAACCGGGCATATCGTTTACGTACAGTAGGAAGAGAATAGGACCTAAAATCGATCCCTGCGGAACCCCACAAGAAATTGGCAAAGAATCGGAAATGTGTGTACATAATGTTCCATTATTCCAGTAAGGTGTTTCTACTCTCTGAGATACGAACACAACCATTCTAGAGCAATACCACGAACTGCATTCGAAAGTACCAAGGTAATTTTGAAAGTTCGGGCTTCGTTTTGATCCATGGATGAGGCGACATCTTTTAGAAAAGAAAACATGGCCATTTCTATTCCTCTTTACTTGTACTGTGCATCTGTTTTCACCACGGTTTCTTATGTAAACACAAATCATGGCTGGAAAATGTGAAATACACAGAAAGAGTAGATCAAAAGCAATGGCACAATCTGTCGAACTGTTTTCTTCGTAATCGTTGCATGATACCTCACGCAAAAAAACGGTGTTTTTTCTTCTAATATTTGTATATTCTCTCCCATTGCTATATTAACATCCTTCGTCACGATCAGCAATCACTAAAGCCAAACAAACAAACAATATCAACCATACTCGATAAAGCAATCCCACATTAATTATGCAAAACAGTCAGCAGCGGCACTTGGCGCGAAAATGAATCACTTTATGAAGCAAGACTTCCAGGACCATCATGGTAGCTATTTGTGCAAATTAGAAACAGCAAAGTCGCGGAACCTGTCAGTAAAATACCAATGTGTGAAGTAATGGAGTCTGATATATTCTCACCCCACGTGGCCCTGGCACGCCTCATTTGACGGTACAACAATTTTCTCTCCAGAATTCAGTCCTCCGATTCCTGCACTTCAGATTTCAGATTTTTACACAAGGGTAATATATTGCAAAGGAGAACGAATTTTAGTAGAAGTGGAGTCCTTATCTCATCTGTTAGTTGTCAGCGCAGAGAAATGTGATAAGTTGAATGACATGGAGATAGATAAGAGTTTCCAAGGATTTGAACACCTGAATGCCCATAAAGAAAAGATAGAACATTGCTTGCCATGTCACTTCAGAATGTAGAAAGTTATTTTAGAAACTATTGTGCTACAACAGCACATATATATTCCCGCCTTTCGTGTAACGTAAATTTTTAAGTAATATTATTGTCTACTTAAGGCCGCAAATGAATGTCCAACGTGAACAAGTGGTGCTAAAACAGCATGTACTTTCTACGTGGTTTGTTCACGCAAAAGTACGCGAAAAATACTCAAATTTATGAAAAAGTGCACATGATCTTATTTCCAGATTTATCTTTAAAGAACAGATTTCATTAAGGGAAAAGATGTCTATCTTTATTGTTTTAGTTGTAGTAAGATTCCGAAAACATTTTGAACTTTTGCAATTTTCGAAAAATCAGGATTTTCAACGAACATGAGACTCATATCATTCTCTTAAACGTCCTTCTCACTACCCAACAAAAATTAATCAAAGTCGATGAAGCCATTTCTTTGAAAATTTGGAAAGTCCCTGGGGCTTAACGTATAGTACCCCCCAAAATTGAAATATCGGTTTGAAATTCAAAGGACCGCGACATCAGCCAGATCGATTGGAGAATATTAATTTTAGAGAAAATCTGATGAACGATTTAGCCGCTAGTGTTGTTCACAGACGGACACACGTTTAGGCATCATTCAATTTTTTGGTATCAAGAACCCACAAAGCATGGATTCTGGCAACGTGAGGATTTTTTTCTAAGTTTCGCAACTGGATTTATCAATTGTTTCGTTATCAGTGGCCTGTAATAACCTTTTTTACGCAACGTTACGTAACTTCCTCTCTACTCCATAGAGAGAAAGTAAAAAAAAAAAAACGGTTTAAGGATCTTAGGAACTCTCAAACATATTTTTACCATACAATCTTGACTTCTATTTTTTGTTGCGTGACTTAACTATCTATATAATGCGTTTAAGAGAAAGTAAAACAAGTTTACTGTCTCAGTAGCGGGAAAATGCGGGTCCATCGGGGGCAGTAGTATGTCCAAAAGTCTTAGAGAAGAAGAGTAGAATTCATGTACTAGAATTTTTATGAGTCCAAATGTTAATTAACACTAGTAAGAATATACATTTTATGTGAACATCAGTCTGCTTATTTCTGATGTGACAAGAAAGCAGAAATCAAATCAAAAATTCTTAATGGCGGCAGAAATAAATGCCACCTAGTAAATGTACGGCCAAATTGTCGTTATATTTAGAGAGCAGCAGTGCAGTAACAATCTGTTGGTAATTATGGAATGTTTATTAAAAAACGTTCCAAAATTAACGTCAACACATTGACGCATACACTTTATTTCTATCTGCATGTATTAGCAAAAATAGCGCAAAAAATGTATATGTTACTCTCCCACGAAGAATTTCAAGAAAGGAATAGTAGAAGTAGTAATAGTAATAATAATAATAATAATAATAATAATAATAACAATAATAATAATGTAAAGAAGAAACAGGTATTTCTTTTAATAAGAAAAAGGATACGAACCCACGCATTTCATGATTACACCATGGTCTGGAGCGTGCAACCCTTTAGAGATCTCGACTAAATCGACATGTGGCAGAAGAAATTCCAAAATTTGCTAATATGTTTTGTTTGGAATTAATATGTCTAATGATGAAATAATATTTACAATAGAGGTATTTGTAATATGAAACAATACTGTTGAAATTGAGGCCCCAAATTGGAGGCAAGGGGAATACGGGAGTTAATTCATTTTGGCACTTTGTTTACAGCCACCATTACACACACACCATGTCCATTTATATTAAGAAAA